TTTATAAACAACAAACTAGAAAGAAGGAACATAAACAAAGTACTTGACATTATTACACACAGAAGCTAAATCAAGGATCTCCTTTTCCACAGCAGGCAAGAAACAAAGAGCAAAATTCTTCTGTTAATGACTTCAGTGAATTTATGGTATGCCTCAAATTCAACGTCCTTATCCAAATAAAGCTTCAAATCCAAATCAAATGGCTCAAATTGGAATATCCCACTTTTGGGGTGTTGATCACTTTCCCTGATGCACACGGCACGCTGACGGCGCCGTTAAACCCGTTCACACTTTGCCGTTTACAAAATCTACGGTCGTGCTCCGTATCCAGCACGAGGTCCACCATATTATATTTTTTTGAAATCAAAATTAGAAAGGGAAGCTCAATAAAAAATTTGACATGCGAACAAAATGAAAGCGACGAGCGGTCCCTAATTATATGCGCTTACGAAATTTCCCATTTTACTAATACAGATTTCTTTTATTTATTTATTTATTTTTTTTATGTAAACATCTTTATACTATATGAAAGAAGTTGTTGAAATTATTCTTTTGGAAACATTTTTTTTTAGATCAGCTTTGTTTGACCTTTTAATAAAATAAATTCTTAATTTTACTTTAAATACGTGGAACCGTTTAGGGTCAGGTACCCCTTATACCTACTTAACATCATGTATTCCCCTATTTCACCATTAAGTTGACTAAAAATTGAAAATCAACGATGGATTCAAGAGTACAAGACAAAAAAAAAAAAATGTTGGTAGCCTTGTACTTTGTCTCGTATCCTTCGTACTTGCTAAAAATCTATTATATCCCTACTGTATTTTAAAATTTAAAAATATTTAATTTACAAATTAAATACATGTTTCCTCGCGCCATCCTCCTTTGGAGCTCATTTATCTGAGAACTGGTGAGATTTGAGATTTGGAATCCCGATCGAACCGTCGCCCATCCTCCCTCACGCCACTCACAGACCCCGGCGTCTCTGCGGCTGATAGCCGGGATCTTCTCGGCCTGGGGCCGTTGTCGGCTGGCTTTAAAAAAAAATTGGCGTTGGATTTGTGTCGGTATGACCCGCTCGAATCACAACGGCAACAGAGATGTCTCGCTGTGTGGATGGATGCCGGAAACCCAAGCTTGGAGCTCGGTTCCACTGCCGTTAATGGCGGATTTTAAAAAATAAATTGTCGACCTCGACAGGCAGTTTGGCCGGCTAAGGAAGGTCTCTGCCGGTTGCACGCGGGTCTGGGACTCCGTGGCTTTCCGGAGGTCGCGTGACCCAGACGGGTGGTTGACGACAGGCTGAAAACAAATTGGAATTGTAGGGACCTAAGTTCGAAAATTTGATAAATGTTAGGGATTGTTTCACAAGTTCATAAGTCTTAATTTATTACAATTTGACCCCTGGGGTAAATCTATAATTTATAATTAGTTTTTAAGTAAGGGTAGTTTAGTATTTACCCAAATTTTTTTTGATTTTTTAATTAAATAATTAAGCATTAGGACACATGGCATCATTTCAAGGGGTACCTGATGTTAATTAGGTACAAGTCAAAGTACAAGGTTACCCGGTAGAATTACTCTAAATACATATGTGTTTAAATTTTGTCAATATTTGTTGGATTTATTTTTTGTTTATTTCCTACTTTTCGTATGGAAAGAAAATCTCAATGAATAAAAACATGTGATTTAACATAACCAGTTTTCATGTTTCATGCAATGCACTACAAAAAAATGATGAAATTCCAATAGAAATATAATCAAATAAAATTTCAACTGCAATTCCATTAGATATATTTCAATGCTATTATTTCTGTTGGAATTTTTCAATGTATTCTAACAGAAATTCCAACAAAAATATTTCGTTGGAATGAGGTTTCCATTGGATTTTGACGATTCCAACGGGAGTGGAAATAAAAATTCCAACGGAAATTCCTACGGTAAAAAGCTGTTTGAATCATCAAATTCCATCTAAAATTCTAATGAAAAACATATTCCAACGGAATATTTTCGTTGAAATTTCCGTTGGAATCATTCAACCGGAAACTATGTAGGGTGTGCAAGCCCAATATATAAGTTTGGTGGGCTACTCCTTCTATTGCTAATTGGTTTTATAATTGGACCCCATTTGGACTTGATGGAGAACTGAATTTTGAGCTGTTGGTCCTAACAACTGGTATCAGAGCCACGGTTGGTAGCCCAGTTGCGATGTGGATGACGTGTCATGTGCCGGTGGACGGATGGTGGATCCGTGTTCCTTGTGTCGAAAGTCTTCCTTGCGAAAGGGTGGCCAGGCGGCGGGTTCCGTGGGTGAAAACGGCGGTACAAGATGGTCGGATCATATGAATTTCGTTCAAGGGGAGGCCCAATGTGGTCTTGTGTTCGAGCGGAGATTTGTAGGGTGTGCAAACCCAATCCTATATGGGAATATTAAAGGTTCCAAGTCCAATATATAAGTTTAGTGGGGTAACAAGCTATACCATTGAAATATCTGTTGAAATTTCTATTGGAATAAATTATCATAGAATTTTCAGTTAGAATATCACAATTTTTTTGTAGTGATGAGTTCTCATATTTTACGGCTCCTAATTTGTATTTCCAATTTTAATAGAAGTATTTAAAATTGAATCTGTTTACTTATCAAGTAAAAAATATGCGCCAATTTTAAAAAATAATATTTCGAAACATGGGTTTTCAATTATTTTTTTTTAAAGTAATACAAATGAAATTATTTTTTGTTTTCTATTTTTTCAAATGAAACAAAAATTTGCGGCAGTTTTAAAATACAAATATAATAATCGTCAATCACCAATTAGATTTTTATGGAGTTATGTAGCATGAAATAATTTGTTTCTATTTTTTTATCAATGAAAGGAAAAACTGAGCCGATATAAAAGATTAGGCATATCAATCGTACAAATAATTTGAAAATTTTTAACGGACCTATTATTTAATAAGTATAAATTTCTTTTTTTTAGAAAATTAATCATTCATCTAATTCAATTTTTTTTCTCTTCAATATTATCAATATATTAAATGATAAAAATAAATTAATAAAATACATTTTTCAATAAAATTCATTATTTATCAACTCACACATTTATAATTACTAATTATTTACAATTGTTATTTTACTACATTTATATATACTATATCAAGTTTAATCATTACATTTTACGTTGCATTCATTCACAAACTTAAAGTTAATTCATTTTTTCATTCAATCAATTTTTTTCACTATCTAACTTATTTCATTCAATCAATCAATTTCTTTCCAAAATAATCTAAATCAGTCGGCCAACTTTCAGAAATAGTGATAAAATGTGATAAAATGCACAGCGATGATCTCTAGTTTCTTACAGTGTGTACATTAATATATATAACAATAATAATAAAATTAGTAATGAACTGTACTTGTTGGATACCAGCAAGCATGATATGATGCATCAACTGCGTTGGTTGAAGATTATTTTATTATCTCTCTCACTGTCATGTCCCGTGTCCAGGTTTGCTTTAGTTGTTTTCCAGGATTTTCCTCTTTCAGATTTACAAGATTTTACGTTAAAGTATTTTACATCAAAAAGCATTCGTCCACCTACAAGGTCTCTCTTCTGTTTTTGCCTCTGTTCAAAATCTACACAGGTAAAAATCTATTGCCCAAATGCCATTCCTTTTTATGAAGCCAACAGTTGACTCCCTAGTGGAGCCAATTTTCTATATACAACAAGTAAATCATACCTTATTAATAAAATTATTAGTATTATTGAAGTAATTCGAAAATATGGTATAGTTTACTTATTGTGTATAAACAGTTGGCTCCACTATGGAGCCAACCGTATAGCAAAACTGCTAGAATATTATATTTTTCGCAATGATACATATATTTTTAAAATAAAGTAACATACTTGTAAAAATACAAATAAACATTAAGTACATTTATACATATACATATATGGCATATCTCCTATAATAGTGGAAATAGAATTTAATTATTTGTGGGTGTATTCATTTGAAATTTTGGAGTGACATGTTTAGACTTTTTAGGATTGAGACTTAAATTTTCAGATGTAGAGGAATATATGAAATCTTAGTTTGGAGGTGAGATTTGGATTGACATTTCATATATGGTTTTTCTTTTGAAATCATATTCTCAAATAAGTTAAATAGAAAACTTTTTAAAATCTAAAGAAAACAACACATAATGTTTCTCACAACGATAGACTGGCGGCTTCTCAAAACAGGAGAGCTCCTCCCAAATCTTCGTAATTTTTTCATAATAATATAATGCTCAATGAATAAGCCCTTTTGTTTACAATTTGCAAGATCAGACTTCAAAAGTTCGAGGAGACCCGAAAAGGGGCATGAAAAGTGGTAATAAGGGCGCCGCTATGATCCCTAATCAGGCCTCCACCTCCGGCGGCTCCAGTAAGTCGGTCAAAGGCCCCGTTGGTGTTTAGCTTAACCTAAGGCGACTCAGATTTCAGCCAAACAATAATTCTGGGCCGTGGATGCTGGACAGGTGACAGCGGAGGTGGTGCAAGGCGGTGAGGTGGCGTGCATCCTGTCCAGTCTTTTTGGGTGAGTCTACCCAAAGCAGTGAGAATAGAGAGATGCTGGTCAACCTGCAAAATAATATGAAAACACAAAAAAGAGTTACCTCACAGTGTCCAGGTGGCCCAAAAGATTAGACAAGGAATAAGAAGCCCACGTGTCTACAGTGTGTGTTGTGTCTGAAAAAACTCAAGAAACTCAAAGAATATGTGGAGAGTAGATATGTGTATAACTTGTATAATGCTCCCACAGTCTCTTCACAGTCTCGCTCTCAAAAGACAAATGAGTGAAGGTCTCCGTCCGAAAATCGCCGATCTCAACACAACAGTAGCAACGCGAGGGGAGGGAGAACCCCCTCGCCTGCATCACAGTATCAATCGGTAGATTGCCCAAATTGTCAAAGACATGATATCATATGGTGAGATGGTTTTCGGACCACCACTGCACCACTACCTCCACCACCAGTGCTGGAACCAGAGGTTGAAGAAGCAGCCATGACGAAGCAATTTCAGAAGTCGCATCGACTGTCGACGAGGGTCGGACGTGAGCGAGGCCGACGCAGGACGGGGCCTGTCAACTAGGGTTGTCGTGGACGAGATGACAAGGGCTGCTGTGGACGAGGGCCGAGAGGCGCAATCGATCCAGATGGGACGAAGGCCAAGACACAAATGAGAAGCAACCTGGACGTGGACGGAGGCCGAACCACGTGGGCGTGGACAGATTGCCTGGACGCAATCAGGGAAAAAAATTGGGTTTGTTGATATGCAGACTAAGTTCCCAAGCTGCAACTATTTATTTATTTTTACCTGGACGCAATTGTTTGCCTGGAGGCACTCGAGAAGTTGTGCGGATGTGGTTTGAAAAGATGCAAAGAGCTAGCTTTTTTTTTTTTTCTTTTCTTTTTTTCGGATCATGAATAACAATCCATATGAGATTTAACAGAAAACAAATTTTGTGGATTTAACATAAAACAAATTTTGCAGCAATTGATATCAGATTTAACTGAAAACAAATTTTGGTATCAGAATAAATTATGGTTCTAATACCATGATACGAGAGAGACGAGACATAAATTGTGAGAAAGATCATCTCAATTGAATGACACCACTTTCTATTAACTAAGAATATATACACAAAACTAGGTCTACAGTTACCTAAAGATAACACAAGGCTAATACAGTAAATACACAAAAATACACAATAACAACCACGGGACCAGTTCAAGGACCTATACATACGGGTTAGTTCCGGGCGGGGCCTGGGCCAGTTCCAGGTCGACCCTGGCCAAGTCTAACCAAACAATTTCCAAGATATTCCATTAAAAACTACACGACATATAAGATATCTTTTAGTTCTTGACCAAATTTTCCATTTAAATAAATATTCACTACATGAAAATGCAAGTCCGGTTTGGATATTATCGGATTGATTGGATGTTAGCGGATTAATGTAAAATTAGTGGATTAAACGTTATATAGAGATTTGACCCATGAAATCTCTAATTAATTTGTTTGGTAAAGAACTTTTTTATTAGGTGGCTTTGTGATACGAGATTTGTAGAATAATATATTAAAATCAGATTTTCATAATGGTTACACAATCCACTATTTATTAAACTGTTATTTACAAACAACTAATACAATTTTGAGGTCAAATCTAGTATTCAAAGTTTGCCTCGAGCTCTCGCGACAATCTCTATGTGATTCGCTACGCCCTTCGCGCAAGGGATGCTGTCTGCTTCTTTCGTCCCCTAGGTAACTAAATCACCTATTATAATTCACTATTAACTACTTGCTTATATAATAAGTTATTGGTTATCCGCTATCAGCTAATAAGCAAAAGTCTATCCTCAAGAGAAAATGAAAAGTCAAAATTAACATTTTTTTTTACGGAACGATAGGCTTTTAAAAGAGAATAGAACACATAATTACATCGACCAAAAGCCGAATTTAGTCGGAGGACATCCCTTACGGGAATCTAAACTACCACAACACACCCACGATTTTACATACTCCCTGCAGAAGAATACGGATCCCAAAGGGATAATAAAAACCAAAAAATGCAAAGAAAAACAGAAAAACCACTTACTACACACAAATACAACTAGAAACACAAAATAAAAACATAAAAAAGTCCTTCCACAGACGGAAAAAACACACCAAGCAAACCACGACAACGACACCAAGGCCGACAACCTATACGGACCGGATCTCGCCCCTAGTCTTAGATCAAGAAACTGACACGAAAACCCAACACCCACAACTCAACCCTACACTCAGGTGACCGAACCAACTCCTTAGCCAGAGAAAAACGAGCTAACCCCCACCAAACCACCACCATCCCGAGCCCAACCCAAACCACGGCCAAGCCTGGCACGTAAGCCATCCCCTCGCCCACGCACCAAGGGAAAAGGGGACAAGGGGGAGAGCCTACAATCCTTAGCCCCAACCATCCACAAGCCGTCGGAGCCACGCCCAGTCCCACCCATAGGAACACCTACGCCTTCTGCCGCCACGCGGCCACGCCGCCTGGAAGATCGACAATCTCCGACCCAACAAGGCGACCAGGGAATTCGGCGAAACCCTTATGGGCCCAGTCGTCCGACCCGTCTGACCAACTCTAGAAGCTCGGCATCGCCCTCGAGAGGGAGAGAGTCGCGCGGCCAAGAGGTGGTCGCTGTTGGAACTTGGCGGCCCGCTGGAGAAGGCCAAACGGCGCTTGAAATTAGGTCACAAAAAAGGGGAGAAAAAGGGAGGAAGTGGAGAGGATGAGAGATTTTTAATCAAAAATTAACACATGTAAAAGACTATTTTTGGAGAAGGAAAAAAAATTGTCAACTGTGAGCAATACATCAAAAAAGTGGCGGCACTGTCAATTTATTACATCAATACAGCCACAGATTCTGAAATATATGCGCCACAAAATTCCAAAGCCAAAATTTAATGCACAAATTTCTCCATTTTTTTATATGTCATATTTTTTCCCAGAAAGACGTGAGACATTGACCTCTGTCTCTTGTACACAGAGCTTAGTTTCCATTGGCCACACTATTCCCAAGCTCTCTCTCTCTCTCTCTCTCTCTACCAACCTCCACCGTGACCACCACCGTCTCCGCTCCTCAGAGTTTGTAGTCTCAGCTCAATTCTTGGAGCTCTTTAGCTCGTTGAGCATCAAAAGGAACTCTGTTGGACAACTAAAGTCTACCTTTTTTTATTGGGTCTTTTTGCTTTTCAGTCCTTCAATTCTGATATATTCAATAATTTTGACATCTTATCCCGACCCATTATCCATTTCCATCGAACAATTCGTGTACTGTGTTTGCTTTTCCAGTATAGATTTTCAAAAGTGATGAATAACAATCAGCAGCAGAATGTGCAAGCCGGACCCGGTTCGGGCCTCACCCGGTACCGGTCGGCGCCGAGCTCTTACTTTGCGTCCATGTTAGAAGACCCTCAAAACGACGCCGTATTCGGGGGAGGTGATTTTGACCATCTCTTCAGCCCGCGAACTTCCGGCCCGGTGGCCCAGACGGTTCTTTCCCGGTTCACGGGCAGCACGGTTACCGTTCGAGGAAATTCCTCAGCCACGAACGGGCGACTGAGCTCACAGCTGCCGGCTGTGGCAAAGGCGGAGCCCAGTCAGCCACTGCAGAGACAGCAGAGCAACGATTACACGTCAGCCTCTCCGGCGATGTATCACGAGTCCCGTGGTACTGCTGTGGAGAATTCGTACGGCGGGTTTATGGGTTCTTACGGCGGTAGTCGGCCGAAGATGGAGTCTGGCGGCGGAGGTAATTCTGGCCTCCTTCGTCAAAGCAGTTCACCGGCGGGGATATTTGACGACATAGATATAGAAACTGGTAAATTACTCACGAATTACACAATATTTATTTATTAAAAAATGTTAATTATTCACCTGATTGATGTTTTGGTGAATTCTGGTTAGCTTGAGTAGCATTAATATGATGAAAATTAAAAACCCTCATATTGTTATATATTTTATGTGTCTTTTTGGTGAAAGTATTTTATTTGTATGATATTGTTTGTGTTACAACTCCAAAATGCAATAAAATTAGTTCAATCTAGTCAAGATTTGGTTCCTGATTCAATAAATTATTCCTCTCAGTTAATTTCGGCAAGAATTCGAGAGAGATACGCAGTTAATCTTGTTTGCAATCCACAGAGTTTGGTAATAATAGTAAAAGTAATGCTAATGCAGAGGCATCATCTTCATCTTCATCTGCAGGAAGGTTCAAACGTCAAATGGATTTCTCGTCGAGATACTCTTCATCCGGGATGATGAACACAATTCCCGAAAACAATATGGAAAATCGACACTTTAGCCGAGAAAGTGGTAATAATGTCGACTACATCACGGGCCTTCCCATGAGTTCTTGGGATGATTCCGATTGTTTTCTACAGGGGCTGCAGGATAATAATGAGAGTAGAAGATTTTCGAGTGCAAATGCCTCGGACGATCAGGTTTTGTCTTTTTTTTGTCCGAGTTTCTTTTCTTTTTTTTCTTTCCGGTTTACTAAACTGACTTATGTTGGAAAAAATTAAAATGAAAATGAAAATTCGGTATGTGGCAGAATAACGAAGGTGGAAATCGGCATGCAACCCGTTTATCTCATCACCTTAGCCTGCCCACAAATTCGGCAGAGCTAGAAAAGATATTGCAAGATACGGTTCCATGTAAAATGAGGGCGAAAAGGGGTTTCGCCACTCACCCTCGAAGCATTGCTGAAAGGGTATAATAAGTGTTTTCTAACAACCTGATTTTTTTTTAATTTTTTCTTTTTTGGGTAGGTGGGGGCCAAGATTGATATGAATGAATATATGGAATTTTGTTTCAGGTGAGAAGGACCAAAATCAGCGAACGAATCCGAAAGCTCCAAGAACTCGTGCCCAACATGGAAAAGGTGATGCCTTTTTCTTTAATCTATTTGTTCGCGTGATCAGCCAATTTTTGTTCATTCAGTTTTTATTTCTCGTACATTTGAAGTTAAATCTAAATTTTTTCCAGCAAACAAATACATCTGATATGTTGGACTTGGCAGTGGATTACATTAAGGATCTTCAGAGGCAAGTAAAGGTAACCACTTTTAGTCGTCAAGCAATAACTTTCCCCACTTTAGCATCCTTCTTTAGCAACTCTCTGCAAATTGTCGTTTTCTTATAACTTCTTGATTTTTTTTTTTTTTTTTAATTTAANTTTTTTTTTTTTTTTAATTTAATTTACTTTCCAGACACTTTGTGATAACCGTTCAAGGTGCTCTTGCCCGGCTAAACAGAATCTATAGTACCAATGGCTTCTCATGAATTCGAATGGATGTGAATCCTCTCTGGCACCTAACCACGAAAAAGGGTGTTCGAATTAGCATTTTGGTTGGGTTTTAAGTAATTCAGCCCAACTTTTGCTTATATGAGGTGAAGTGTTCAGAAAAGAAAAAATGATGAGAATAAAATGGTAGCTTTGATGAACTGTTACAATATGCAACAACAGTTGGGGGCATCAAGTAGAAGTGATGGAATTTGAATATGTGGGGTTTTAGCAATAATGCTTTTAAATTTGTATCGCACTAACTAGTGCAATATCCATTTATTAGCACCATTCCATTTATGGTAAGTAGCACTCGATTATGCGAGCACAATTGCGGTAAGCCTGTAACCATTTTTAGCAAGAAAAGCAAATGAACTTTAGATTAAGGTCTCTAAAATTTCAACTTTTTTATCCTCTTTTGATGTGCGATGAATGATTGTACTAATAACTTTTGAGCCCACGAATAACTTCCACTTGAAAATGGTACTAAACGCTCCTTTCGGACTAATCTGACCCCAAATTATGTGAATCTGGAAAAGCCATGCATGCATCCAATGGT